TACACCTTCCAGGCACCATCAGGTCTCTGAAAAGATCAGTGGTGATGTTCTAAGCATCTCCAAGAAATAAGAAGCGAGGCCACCTCCCAGGTTAAGGAAGAGGCGAGGTCAGGGCCCTGAAATTATGAAACACCAGCTCATCCACTCAAGGCCCCAAAGAGCCATTGTCTTTCATTGAAGGAAAATGGGCAGAGAGAGGGGTGCACCAGATCCTTAATCAGCTTTAATTAACAGAAGGGCATGCATGCTACTTGCCCTGCGGATCTAAAAGCATCTACAATTCATGCTTGGGGAAAGGTACTCTACAGAGCAGAAAGTGTCCTTACTACATCAGTGGGGAAAGAGGTCCAGAGAGGTAGTTCAGCTTGCTTAAGGAAATTATCCAACTCAAGCTTAAATGAAGGGAGCATCTGTTCTGGCTCCTTGACCCTGCCACTGTCAGGACAGGGGAGACGAGGTCCCCTCAAAGGTGAGACCAACTTGGCCACCTCTACTTCCCACAGAGGAAAGATAGGAGGAAGCCAGCAGAAGCAGGAAGCTGGTGGGGCGGCCCAAAGTGGGGTCAGGGCCCAGGTGGCAGACGCGTAAACAGAGCTGTGATGGAGCCAAACCCCGCCTCTGGCCTGGGAGGTAAGGTAAGCTGAGCTAGGGCCTCGCCAGACCTTGCCTGCCTCAATTCAGTGGGGCTCCTCCACCCCAGGAAGGCTGCACAAGTCCCAGAGAGGCATTTAGCAGCCACAGGGTCCCCACAGCCCTTGGCTCAGGGTTAAGGGGGTGGGTGGAGACAGGTGTGTGGGAGAAAGGGAAGGAAGGGGGTGGAGAGAATTCTGTCCTAGTCTGAGGCTAGGCTAGACTGGTTTAGGACTAAGTCTGCTGAGGCCAGAGCCCTGGGTTCCACTGTGCTCTCCTCACTATGTTTTAGCAGGTAGTGCCTATAGCTAGGTTTTGGGTTTTGTTTTATTGTCATTCTTGTTTTGTTAGGCAGCTCCTTGGGCCTTGAGTCTCAAAGATCCGAGTTCAAATTAGCCTTAGACACTCATTAGCTTCATGACCCTGGGCATGTCATTTAAACGCCATCTGCCTCAGTTCCCTCATCTGCAAAATGGGGATAATAACCACAGCTATCTCAAAAGGAGATTCTGAGGACAGAATGAAATATTATTCATAAAGTGCTCAGCAGAATGCCTGCCACATAGCAGGCACTTTAAATGTGTGTTCCCTTCCCTTTGGGGATGGGTAGTACCTAGTTTTTGACTGGTTCTAGCTTGTCCCTCCTCAGCTTTTCCAGTCAGCAGCTCCCCTTCCTCTCCCTACCCCATACTCTGAAGTCATTTAGAAGAGGCCTTGTCTGTCAGACCACAAAGCCCGAGGGCTCAGGGAAAGATGGCCAAGGTGATTTAGGGGCTACTCCCAGCCTCTCCCTAGTGCCCTTAGGGACTGCCTTCAGGAGCCAGCTGACTCCTCCTCTACTATGAAAGGCTATAGATTAGTGAAGGGTCACTTGGGGAGGGGGGAAAGAGTCCTGAGTCCCCGATGGATGAGAGTGCACAGCAAGATGACTCCAAGAATTCATGCTTAGCCAAGCCCCATCACACATATGACTGAGCAAGAGCCAGCTTCACCCAAGGAAATGTGGCTGAGTACAAAAAGTTTTCCTACCCACAGACAAATAAAGCTTCTCTTCTCTCTAAAAATGAGAGGGCGGGGGACAGCCCTTACCTGCCACGTTTCACTCCTATTTAGGAGAGTCACTATAGCCACTTTGGGCCTCAGTTTCCCCCTTCCCTTCTGGGCCCCAAGGCTGCCGAGCCTCCCAGAGCCACATAAAAGGGCTGGGTGCGTCTGCCTTCCTGTACCACCTGTAAGTGGGAGGGAGAGGGGAAAGGTAGGTGGAGTCTGTGGGAACCTGAGAAAGGGGAGCAGCTTGGCCTGACACTCACTGAGGCCAGGCTCATCTGGGAGCCCAGGCCACTAGGCATCATTCTCTCTGGAAGTCCTTCCTTCTGCAAGAGGCATTCCTCAATCCCTCAAGGAATACTGCAAGATGTCCAGCCTGGCTACCTACCTACCCCCAACCAACCTGACAGCAGGCTAACCCACTCTGCTGAGACAGTCTCAGCACTTGGGGGGGGAGGGAGAGAGAGACATGGAGAGAGACAGGCAGACAGAGATGCCTAAACAAAAAAGAATGGGCTAGTTCAGGGGTTCTTAACCTGGGGTCCACAGACCACCTAGATAGATTTCAGGAGGACCAAGAACTTCGATGGGAAAAAAATTAGACCTTTATTTTCATTAACTTCTAAAACTAAAATTTAGTATTTCCTTCAAGTGTTCAAAAACATTACTGAGAAGGGGTCTATCGACTTCACATTGGTCCCGGACGCAAAAAAGGGTTATTTCTGGTAGGGATGACCCTAGTCTACAAGCCTGCTGCTAGGCAGCACAGGTGGTCCCTGGATGTCAGGTATGCAGCCACATCCTGGGATGGAAGGCTGGGAAGTCTCTGCTATGACCCAGATGAATCAGAGAGGGTCTGGGAGCCAGGGTGGCCCAAGGTCTTTAAGGCTTTTAACTGTGTCTGTGACCCAATCAGGTCATGCATGTGGCCATTAACTGAACAGGTGCTGGTCCAAGCACAGAGATGCTACCACCTGTAGTCCCACCTCTCAGAGTGGTGTGAGAGAGGAGACACAAAGCCCTTTGGACTAAGCCAGAAGCTGGCTCTTGTGCGGGCTTCCTTCTCAGCTCTGGACACTCCCTGAAGGCAGCAGATGTGAACTGTCAGGGATCCTCCAGGGAAGTGTCCAGGGTTCTGAGGTCACCTCAGCTACCGCAACGGGTGGGGACCAGGTGTCACTGGGTACAACAGAGTGGCCATGATGTGACTCTGACACAGAATAAGGACACAGGTGCTTCCTGCAATGTGCCTCCTGAGACAGGAGGGGCTGGGATCACAGAAAACTCCCTATGCCTCAAACTAAAACTTAGCCAGTGGGAATCTTATTATTATTATTATTACTATCATTATTATTGGTAGGAGAGGCCTAGAAAGGGGAAAGGAGAATAAAAGTGACCCCAGTCCAGAGATGGCCTAAAATAGTTCTCTTCTACTTTTCCATACATGGGAGTGGGCAAAAGCCAAGGCCAGAGAAACAGACCCAGGGCACAAGTTTGTCCAAACTCTTGGGGGGATTGGGACGGGGGGTAGGGGAGTACAGGAGGCAGGTCAAGGTGAGGTAAGGATAGGGTAGAGGAAGAAAGAAAAGAGAAGAGCCTGACTTTTCTGCCCTAAGCTAAAGCACTGAGTCACAAGGCCATACTTGGCCTGCCCCCTCCCTGCTAAAGTTTGAGAAGAGCACCACTTTTTCCCTGTGCCACTCAGGGAATCGTGTAGGGTCTGGTGGCAGAGATCTGTCCAACCCAATGGACAAAGAAAGTCTCAAACTGTACCCTGTAGACACCCTACAGGCTCCTTTCCCAGGATCTTCGTGACTTTTGGCATTTGTCTCAGGTACTTTAGGGGCAATGCTGTATTAGAAAAATTTGTGAGATCATTTATGTCTAGGCCATAGCAACCCGTGCATCAATGGCTGGGTCTGTCTATAACCTTGACCCTGAGGTATGAGAGAAGCCTCAGTTCTTGCTGGGGTCCCCCAGCTTGCACTCCAAGCCCCCAAAAGCAGCTTTTTCTTCCTCAGTGCCTGGATGTGAAACTTCAGCAGACTAAGTGACTTAACATTAGGTAGGTACTCTTCTCTCCACCCCCTCTGCTCTGGCAGATGTGGCTCTATTTGGGGCTTGAAGTCGCCTTGGGCCAGAGGCCTAACCTAGGCCAGGTGCTGGATGAGTGGTGGCCATTGGTAAGATGGATTGCCCAACTATCCCTCTCCAGAAGATGGGGTGGAGAGGGTGGGCACCCTAGCATCACAGAGTTTCCTACTGATCTCCTGAGCACAGGGGAAGCCTGGCCCAGGCACAGAACAGGTAAGGCTTAGTGAGAACAGATGGAGCCACCAAAGTCTGCCAAATCCATGCCCATCCATCAGAAGTGGAAACCTGAGCTGGTAACTCCAAAGCCTAGACCCAGAGCCAACTGGGAGTGGGGAAAGAATAGACAGAGCCGGGGTTGAGGAGAAAAAAAGCTGAAGAGCCCTGCCCGCTGGGCTGAAAGCCCTGAGATGCCAGCACACCAGGCTGTGGGCTGTACCTCCCCATGCCACGAAGGCCACAGTGGAGAGCCCTGACTCACTCTCCAGGACTCCAAGCCAGCCAGATGCCTACGGAGAGCCAGGTGGCCTGCTGGCCGGCCCTAGGGCAGCAAGGCTGCTCAGCCAGTCAGGCATCCTAGGCATCCAGGGTGACTTGGTTCATCCCTACTACCTGGCCAACTTTGCTCTCGACAGGGCCACTCAAGACCCGAGGAGAGAGGTGAGAGGAGTATGAGAAGGGCTGTGGAAAGAACATAATATGGCTTGAGGGGCTGGGGGAGGAGGCAGCCAGAATGGAAGAAGAGGCCTGCACTTTTCAAGCTTCTATCCCCAGCCCACGCCAGCTCATCCTTATGCCCAGGAGACTGGGCCCAGACAAGGTAAGAAGGCGCAAAAGTAAGAGAAGAAACACAGAAATAGTACAAATTCCAGTACATATCCCCAGGTTACACACCTGGTCACAGGGCAATGGAGAGTTAAGCTGAGGGCAAAGGGTGGGTGCAGGAAGGGGGCTGTGGATGGGAAGAGTACCAGAAATGTGTGAGCCAGCTCTGAGAGGAGGCTGAAGGGCCTGGCCATTAAAGGCCTAGCCTAGGTGAAGCTGGGGGGTGGGCAGAATCTCAAACCCATGATGGCGGCCTCTTGCTATAGCAGCGAAAAAGGAAAGATCACCACCTAAGCAAACCCTTATGCTCAAGCTGGCCCTCAAAGCAGTGCCAGCAGAACCAAGCCCTGGGCTCAGGAAGGAGCGGGATCCCCCACCCCCAGCACCTCTCCCAGCCCGACACTTACCGTGTGGGGGTTGTCATAGTAGACCCCAATGGAACTAAGGCGTGGAGAGATGCTGCAGCTCTCCGTGAATAACCGGCCCGACTCCTTGTAAGGGCCCACGTGGAACTTGTAGGCCAGTGTGATGTTCCGGATTGGGGGAGACCCTGCACTCACTACTACATCTTCCAGCAGCCCAGAGTACACGGCAAAACCCAGCAGGGTCAGCAGAAGGGTCAGCACCAGGGCCGCAATCAGGCCCAGGAGTAGTAGCTCGGACATGGCTTCTGGGCCCTCCGCTCCCCGAGAGATGCTGTAGGGGAAGAAAGAGCCAAAGAGAAGGTGAGTGAGGTGAGGGATGGCGGTGCCCTCCACTCCAGCCTCCAGCCCAGGCAGATGTGGCCTCCCTGACTCTGTGGGAGCCACAGTCCTCCAGTCCCTCCACTGGAAGCTATGAGCCAAGAGGAGGGGGAGGGGCCAGATGACCTAGAAGGTAGCAACAAAGGATGACAGAAGCCACAAGCTTCTTTATTTCTTAATCACAATCATTGAGGCTCTGAAAGCAACCTGGCTCTGAAGGCCAGAGTGTCATCACAACACCTTCAGCCTGAATCATAAGGAGGGCAGTAGGATTGGCTTAAGGGAGGGGAGACTCCTGCCCTGAACAATGCTGGAACCCAGAGAGAAATCTCCCACAGCCAGGCCAGGAGAGCAGTCCAGCAAAAAGACAACCTGGTGTTTGGTCCTCAGCTCTTCCACTTCCTACCCACGAGACAATGGGCAAATTCCCCTCCCTCATTCCCCATCTCCCTGAATCTCAGCTTCCCCCTCTGTAAAGAATGGGGTGGGACTGGATGATCTCCAAGGACCCCATCAGCTCTAACAGTCTGTGATTCTCAAATCCACCTTCCCAAGTCCTTTGGTCAGTAACATTCGGGGCTGCTGTAGTCAGAAGAGGACCTGGGGAAGCAAGGCAAAGACCCAGATACCTATTAATAACGAGGATGCTGGGAGACACAAAACCCCAGAGAAAAATCTTTCTGAAGCTCTAATTATGATGCTAAGACTTTTCTTATCCGCAGCTCAACTTTCCAGCACTCTCAACTCTAGAAAATAGCCACAAACCAAGAAGACAGCAAAAAGGGTCTACTAAATAGCCTATTTATGGTTCAAACAAGCTTCATTATCTGGTTTTTGAGCCCACAATAAATTAGAAAGCAGGAAATCAGAAGGTGGCTACAGCAAACATACTGAGAGAAGTAATAGCTTGCCAGTGGAGGACACAGAAAAACAAAAATAGCTGATGGAAGACCATAAAAAGCCCAGTAATCTAAGCTAGCAAATTCAGGACAACCAGCTTCAGCCACCTCAAAGAAGTCTGGAAGGTGTGTCACATTATCACAGCACAAAGCAAAAAATGATGTTACAATGACCTTAAGTAATCAATAAAAATTGGGATGAAACACTAAACACACAGTTTAACAAATATTTACTGGGTGCCTATCGCAAGGAGGGTCCAGTGCTACAGGAATACAATAACTACACCTTCCTTCCCCCAAGGAATTTAAAGTCTAGATGGGGAAACTAATTGTTTAAGATGGGGGTGGGGAACCTTCAGCCTTTAGGCCACCTGTGGCCCTCTAGGTCCTCAACAGATCCCTTTACTAAAAGGATTTGTTCTGTAAAACCTGGGACTCAGTCAAAAGGTCACACCCAAGGACCTAGTAGGCTACCCGTGGCCTCGAGGCCAGCAGGTTCCCCACTCCTGGTTTAAGACAAAGGGATCAAACCTGCCAGGCCCTTGGTACTCATAACACTTCCCTCTTCCCCTCTCCTGAACCAGATTAACATGTAATTGTGGGAAACATTTGACACAATAAATGAAAATATAATAGATATACAATGTTAATTATCTCATCATAATATATCATTATATCAACATATATTGATAATATATCATATATATCAATGTACCATTAATTAATGTTAATAAAATACATAGGTAACGTTAATGTGTAGTTTTCTAAGTCAATATATAGCCTGCAGGAATCCTCATGCACAGTTTTGTGACACTGTTTCTATGCCTTTGACACCACTAGTTTAAGAAGGTATGCATGAAAATAATTTGCTGTAGAAAGATAGTTAAAATTGTCCAAATTTTTAAAAATTTTGGTGCTGAAAGAAGTAAAACTGAAGCCATTTGGAAAACTTGACTACCAAAGTCTTACCTCTTGAGAATTTTAGAGGTTTCCTGGATAATTAAAGAGAGCAACATCGGAAAAAACACAGGCCTTGGACTGCAGAAGACTTGGGTTTTAGTCCCAGCTCTTCCTAGTAAGAGTTGCCGTATGAATCACTACTATTCTGGGGCTCAATTTACTCCTCCGTAAAACACAAGTAAGTACATTTGCTCTGCCTCCTAACACCCAACTGGGGTGTGATCAGGAACGTGCCCCAACATAGGGGTATTATGGGATTTAGAACTAAAAGGGAATTTGGAGATGACCTCATCCACACCCCTCATTTTTAGGAAATGAGGAAGGCGAGGCCCAGAGGTTTATCGGATCAACCAAAGTCCCAAAGGTGGCACAAGGGATTCAAAGCCCAGTGTTCCAACTCCAAATACAGGTCATTTTCTACCAGGCTAGAGCTACTGCCAGCATGGAGAACAGGAAAAACGATCACAACAGAAAACAAAACCCAAAACATAAACCTAATTTGGTCTTAGAACACCACCATCTTAACTTCACACAACCACAATTCTCCATTCTTGCTCTCTCTCGATCTTAATTTCCTTCGGTTTCTATGCCCCTCAGCTCAGCCCCTGCTCCTGCCCCTGCCCGTACTCTGGCTATGCCCATTACTTTTGAAGCTGCCACAAGCCCTGGCTTCCAGAAAGCCCCCCTAATCTCGGCAACCATTTTGCAAAACTTCAAAGAACTCTGTTTGAGGTCTCTCAAGCAGCTTTCTTTTACCTCCAAGGACCTCCCTTGGGCCACTCTCTAGGTTTCTGGGGGGGGTGGTGGCTAACCCATAGTCACCACTGATTGGTTCCTCCCCACTTCAGGCCCCCTGAAGCCACTGGTTCTTTTTACCCCAATCTTGTTCTAGCCTCCTGGGCTCCCCTCCCCCCATCTCAAAGGCAGCCCTGCACTTCCTGCAGAATAGAGTGTACCAGTCACTGGGGACATCAGAAAAGAGCCAACTGGTTACCAAGAAAAAAATCCTTAGTGGCTTTGTAGTTACTCACCAAAAAATCAGCAAAAACTAATAGTTCATGGTCTCTGCCACCCAGCTGGGGCCAACACACACTTCCAGAACTGCAATGAGGACAACATAACACACAGGGTTAAGCCACATCCCTACAACCTGGGGCCATTGAGTATAGGGACAAACAGGCCCAAACACTTCCACTGAGTTAGTGTTTTGAAGCCATTCTGGCTACAGGATGGCTTCCCCCAGCCATATATGACCTTCGAAGGGGTGGGAGGGAAATGGGGTGCAATTCCATCAAAGAGACCTGATTCTGGAGTAGGAAGAGTTCAAATCCCACCTTTGATGTCTGCTACCTGTGTGACCTTGGATAAATCACTTAATAACTCTGGGCTTGAGTTTCCTCATCTGTAAGATGAAGCCCCTCCCAGTTTTAGATGCTGGAGCCCATAGAAGAACAGAAGGCAAAAACATCCTCAAACCCCTTCAACTCAACACCAGCTTAGGGGGTGTTTTCTTGTTTTGTTTTTTTCCAATGATGTCTGGTGTTAAGAGGTCCCCTGAACTTGTCCTTTTGAGTTGCCAAAATCTCCTTTTTCTGGGATAGTTTCAGTCACCCCACCAGTACCCTGAAACAAATGCCCCCTTCCCAGCAAGGGGTTTCCTCTGCTGTTCTTTTCCCCTGCTCTTACCAAAGAGGGAAGTGGCCCTGTTTCTGCCCAGACCCGACAAAACGCCAGGTCTGCACATCCGAGGCTCAGAGTTAATCACCCAGGCAGCGAGCTCAGATAATGCTGGGGCAACACTCAAGCTGAAAGCACGTCCATTCCTCCCCCCAGTAGGCCTCCACCACAGGTTACTCCTCCCAAACAGATGTGTTCATTCCAGCCGGCTCTTGCTTCCTGGTTCCCCAGGATTCACGTGTGCTGTGACAACAGCAGGCAGAGAGGGCGTTCCCAGCTCTTAAAGAGACCCTAGGTCTCATGGAAAACTTTAGAACAAGGTTCGAGGTGGAAGTAATTCTATGTATGTCATGTGCTTTGGGTGAACAGGAGGTAGGCGGGCCTTGAAGGGCCAAGGAGGGGATAAGCATGTTGCATTCATTAAGAAGGAGCTCACTTCTCCCTGGCTGGGATTCCGGATTGCTGGCAAAGATTTTCCAGCTTCTTGCAAGGAGAGAGACAATTCTTGAGTCACCAGTGAGAGACCAGGAGTGGCAGGAAAAAAAGGAAGGAAAAGTGTACTGGGAACAGAAGAAACTCCAGAGATAGGAGAATCCAGGTGCCAGACATGTTAGGAAGGTAGGGGGGTCAGACCACACTGACCAATGCCATTCCCAGCAAGGTGCCTTCAGAAAGCAGGGGGCTCCATTAAACATTTGTTCATGAGCAGAAGGATGGCTAGTGTGAATCTCAGCAGGGTGTCAGGAACCTCAATCTTGCCCTTTTCTCTGGGCCAGATGCTGCTTGGTTTCAAGGAGAGACAGTCTCCCCGTTTTAATAGCTATTTACTCAATGCTTCTTTTATTTCTTAAATATCTTTCTTCCCCTCAGGTCTCCCCAGATAGTATCTCAATCAGTTCCAATATACTCCCTTAGGTTTGGAAGGAGCTATGGAAATGCATATTTCTATCTGAAAAATTAATATGACACAGTTCTCATAGGGATAGGCTACTTCCCACTGCCACCCCCAAACATCCCAATTTTGGGGGGAGTTGAAAGGGCTGTCAAATATAGGACCCCAGAAATTCTGAAAGCAACCTGTGAGTTACAAGTGATCACATTTTGCAAACGTGTAAGAGAGGGGTGAAGTCAGCATCCTGACAGACTTTAGTTGGGGTGTGGCTTATGTAAGGGT